CGTTGAATTGTCTTTTTTTTTTTTTTTTTTTTTTTTTTCTCCTTAAATGTCATCCATTATGTGAAGGAATCAGTGTAAAAAAAAGTGTATGAAAAGATTGTAGAAAAAAATGTAATCTTAAAAGAATTTGGTCCTACAGAGCATGAAGAAAATGCTAAATTTTCTCTCACACTTTTATAAAGACTAGAGCTTAGTCTTTTGAAATGTGATTGCATGTTCTTGGTGATACAGGAATTTTAAATATATACCATCAGAAGTCCTAAAAACTCTCTCCTAGAATAAATCCATCTAAGTCATTTTGAAATTTAAGAACACTTATTAGTTTAGAAATATGATCTTGTTRAAAGATTATGTTGTGCTGAAAATAATAGGCTATGTTCTGAAATGTTCTGATGATCTTGAATAAGCATCATTTGCTTTTTGCAGAGAAGCTGAGGCAGAGAAGCAAATCATAGAGCAAATGTCAGGGATCCTGATTTGGAAATGGTTGGCTTCTCTTCAGGTTAGACAGGTAGTTGATGACATTTCTAGGTTAATTCTAGGTAGCTTCTGGGGTTTAGGTCATATTGACKGTGGATTACGGAAAATAGTAACAACTTTTCAGTTAGTATTTACAAAGTGCAGAGTGGCTTTGCTGATCTGAGGAAGCATTCGCATGGCCTTTGGCTCGGGGGCTGAGTGTTGACCACATAAGAGAGCCATTCATAAAATGTGGGTCTTATCACTACTCAAGTAAGATATATTATGTCTAGAAAAGCATCCGGTTCCTCCAGCTCACCCTCTCCTCGAGTGGGAACCAAATACTTATTTAAATAAAACAATTAAAGGTTAGTCTGTTTACACAGAGTTTGAAAGACTTTTAGTTTAATTTTTGATGTATATTGCTAAGAATGGAAAAATTCTTCTTTATTTTTTTTCCTGTAATCTGCTGTTCTTTATTGGATTTTTAAATCTTCAGCTCTGGAAGAATACATGGCTTCCTCTAGCTCCTGCCAGTCTTAGTTCACAGGATTAGCTTTTATCATTCTGGTGTAACGTGTAGGTATTGGACTGAGCGCTGCGTACAGCTCCCTGCCATGGGCCCTTTCCTGCCTTGCAAGGGAGTTTCTCCCTTGCGTTTCAGCTAGCCAGAATTTACCCTGGAGTCAGATTATAAAAAGAATAATGACATGCTGGCCTTTACAAAATCAATTATTCAGCAATTTTGTGGATCGTGTTACATCCCAAATGAGAATTAAAGAAGCCTTAAGCATGTGAGTAGCTCTAAATTTCAGATTTTATGCAAATGTGGATATAGCTGTGGCTTTTTCAAGGGTGATGTAAAAAAGGGAAAAATATGTGAAACATGGACTGAAGTGACCAGTATATGATAGTTCTCTAAAGATAAAACACTGTGCAAAGTACTAAAAAAAAAAAAAAAAAAAA